AGAGAAACTTGAAAAATGGTGAGGAGAGGCAGAGTCTATACCTTTCGACCCTATTTCAGTTGCCCATGCTTAGGACAAGAGCAGTCTTACCTCTGTCAAGCAGAGGGTGTTACCTGGCACCTTTTGAATATACTCATTTCTAGTTCTTGCACTCTTTGACCTAGGGGAGAAAATTGGCTTTGCAGGCTGGCAGAGCACAACTGATTTTGCAACTGACTTGATCACCCACCCTGGGCAAAAAGTCTTCCTCTTAATAAATCTGTATTTCTATCCTGGTGTTCCCTTTATGTTGAAACTTATTCCTCACTCGTAACAAGTTTTTAAAGGCTCAAAGAAATGATCAACCAACCTCCAGATGAGGTTGAGCTGTACAAGATATTCTTCCCAGCTGCACAATTGGCATTTGGTGCCAGATAATCTTTGTTGTGGCGGAATGCCTTCTGCACTGGAGTATATTTACTAGCAAGCCTGCCTCTACCACTAGATGCCAGGAGCAGCCCTCTCCTCAACTGTGACAACAAAAAATTTCTCTAACCATTGCCAAATTGTCTGGGTAAAGGCGAGCAAAATCACCTGCAGCTGAGAACCACTGACCTATATAGGAAGAGCAAAACATGGTTAAAAATTAGAAGCAGAGAGGGTGCCTGGGTGGCTCAGTTGGTTAAGCGACTGCCTTCGGCTCGGGTCATGATCCTGGAGTCCCGGGATCGAGTCCCACATCGGGCTCCCTGCTCAGCGGGGGGTCTGCTTCTCCCTCTGACCCTCTTCCCTCTCGTGCTCTCTGTCTCTCAGTCTCTCTCTCTCAAATAAATAAATAAAATCTTTAAAAAAAAATTAGAAGCAGAGAAATATGGCTGTAGTTGAGACCTCAGTTGGAGGTAGGTGGGAGGTACAGTAAAACCATCAATTAACACAAATCAGTAATACAGTTTTGAATATTCACCTAAAGAACTTGGATTTTGTTTTTTAGGCAACAGAATATTATTAAAAGATTTATAGAAAGAGGGTGATATAATCAGATTTTCATTTTAAAGAACATCTTCTTGATCTTAGAGAGAGGATTGAAAAGACAATAGCTATCACAAAACTCTGAGATGGTAATTATGTGAAATAAAGCCAAGGGGGTGGAAAGGAATGAATGGGTCATGCCTATGTCTTATGTATGCTTTGAGTTGATTTTCAGTTACCATATTAACATCGTCATGGGTGGCTTCCCTCAGGTATGTCTGTTACCTTTTCAGAATACTTTCACTGTATACATCCTGGGTTTTTTGGTCTTTTGTGTTATTTGCTACCAGTTTCCAGCATATTCCATTCCTCTCCTTCTAGTTTCCTCTTCACATGGGTTTGCATTTTTCAAAGGAACGTCAGGGAATCTCATCTGCCACCCCCAGGACAGACATACCAGAGGAGCTTAGTCCCACTTCCATGAGTATCCTTTGAGTCTGCCAGGAGGGCCTGGTGGTTAGATCCTATGCATTCAGAATTACTATGTTCTCAAAGGGAACAGGGCAGAGTCAAAAGCCTATGACAACCTCTCCATAGGGTGCTTTTGGTGGGCAGGAAACACATCTGAAGGGAAGAGTAATCTATAGTGTAGGACACCACCCAAGACAACAGTTGATTGTTGGATAGGCAAATTTACATTTTGGCTTCTTTGCTCACACCAGTTCTTTCTCATTTCTTTTTATGTTATCAACAAAATAAATTTTTGTTATATATTTGAAAATGAGTCAATAACTTTTTATCAACTTTAGTGGGTTCAATATACAAGTGATCAGAATGGGTCTCACGCTTCATTCATACTAAGCACACTTTAGTCCAGCCTGGACTAGGGATGCTGGAAATGGGGATAGAAGCTGAAAAATGCAGTGGCTTAACTCCAACACCTATATCACTTACACCAGAAATATAGTTCTTCTCTTGGGGAAAAAAAAAATTCAAAGCCAGTTCTTCTTGTTTTCTCTTTTTGCTAAGGTAAGGAACTACCTTTTTGCTTACTTCTCAATCACTCCGCAGAGAAATGACTTTCAGCTTCAGATAACATGCTCTAGGGGACTCTGTACCTCTCAGTAGTGGAACACTGCTCAATAAAACAACACAATAGTGGATATGAAAAATATCTGGTTATTTCACAAGAATCCAACTTAAAATATAGATAACATTGCAAACCCCAAATTCACATAGGTCGGGTAGGGGGGCCTAGAAAATACATCAAAGAGACAGGAAGTTATCCACTAGAGAATCTGGAACTGAGAGTATTATACTCACATTTGGAAGATATGCGATGGTATGACAAAAGATCAGTCTGGTGGTATTCATGAAATTAAGCATGAGAGGTGCCTATTTAGCCACTCAAACTCCAAGCAACTGAGATGCGATACAAATGAGCAGCTTATGTGACTACTAAGCAGGAGAAAGTATAACATTAAGGTGCCGTACTAGACACCAGTGCTTTCAAATACAAGCCTGGATCACTATGACTACGTTGCAAATGAGAGAAAACCCAAATCTAACTAGTTTAACAAAAGATACATATTGGCTCACATAGCTGAAAAGTCCAGAGGTAAGTCTAACTCAAGTAAGGTTTGGGCTAGTGGCTCAAACAATGTCACCAGGGACCCAGTTTTCTCTTCTTTGCCACTATCTTCTTTGATATTAGCTTCATCCTCAGGCTCCACATATTAACATCAGGAAGCTCCAGATTCTCCCCTCACCTGCCCGTTTAACAGAAAAAAAAAAAAAAAGAAAGTATTGCCCTAGTTCAAGGCTTCATATCTTCCTATATATCATACAGAGGAGGATAGAGTGTCTTCTTCGGTTGCTCTCAAAGAAAAGCTTCTCTTTCAGAAGGCCCAGTAAGTATCTCCTCATATCACATCGGCTCTGTGGCCAAATAGGACAAGTTAATGGACCTAGGCTTAGGAAGCTGTGGGTGAGGCCAAACCAGGTGGCCGAGAAAGTATGTTTTCCCAAAGATTATTTGGGTTATTGTCCCCATAGAGAAGGAGAATGGACGCTGGGAACCAAGTAAGAGATGAATAATATGGAACACTGACTCAGCCTTGACAAAGACATGCTCAGAATTGCAGACACTGGTTTGAGTTGCTTCTAAGACAACTCTGTAGCTACCTCTGAGTTGTAAAACAGGAGGGATTTCGTTATTCATTACCCCAAGAGTTTCTGGGCTGGCCAACTAATTGTCATATGTGAATGACTCTATACACTATTTTTACATTTCCTCACTTTCTGATCCTACTTCTGAAAATTCTGAAGACAAAATTTTACCATAATCAATTTTGATTTTAATATATTGCTAATTGCAGTTTATCAGAAAGTATCTTAAATTTCTAAATTTTCTTTTATATTTAAATTTCTCCAAAATTTAGGAAGTATTAATTTTATTCCTAACTTTGAGATGTGTGGAAAGTGTCATTACAAACTGGAAGGTCATCCATGTTATGAATCCTTCATCACAGACTATGTTCTTTGATATGGGCTCAGGGCTTTCAAGTACCTGTCTCTGGGGCTCTGGTAAGGTAAAGACCAGTCACGAATTCTCTTAGTAGAGGCCATCCATTTCTACACGCTACTTCTTAATCCCTCTGAAATAACACATCTTTTGCCTATTTTGATAATTCTCTCATTGTGATACTCCTAAAATTTGTCTTGCCATTCCACCACTCTGCCTACAAACATTTCCATCTTAGAGGGAAAGAGTTCCTAGGGTTGATCAATTTCCATGATGCTCCTCCATTAAGTCCAAAATGCTTCTTCTTTTTCATGGTTCCATTTCTATGGGTTGTTCTTCCTATTCATTATCTCTCTCCCATTTTAAGATACTGACATCATCTAGCATACATATCATCCTCACTCTGGGAATTTATTAATATTTAGGTTTTTAATGATCACCTCCACGTAGCACTAGTCCAAGCATTCAACCCTATTATCAAATGTGCCTGTATAATGTGTCCACTAGTAATATTGCCAATCTCTCACTGACTACTCTTTCTTAGTATCTTTTTCTGGCACTTCCTCCTGCCCAGCTCCCTAAATACTGAGTTGGTGTTTCAGAGGACTCTATCCTGGGTCCTCATATTTTGCTATGCTCTCTGAAGGCAGTACTGTCCAACAGAGCTTCCTGAAATAATGAAAATGTTCTATGTCGACACTATCCAATATGGCAGCCAACTGCCAAATATAGTCATTGTGAGCTTGAAATCTGGGCAGTATAAGAACCTAAATTTCAAATTTAATTTAAATACCTACATATAGCCAGTGGCTACTATGTTCAGTAGAGCAGTTCCAGGGGATTTCGTTCATTTCTTCCCACAGCTTTAAATACCTTCTGCTCATTTGATGACTCCCAGATGCAAAGTTCTAGATATGACTAACCCTGAGCTCTAGCCCATGTATACAACCACCACTTGAAATTTCTACTTGTATATCTCACACATATCTCAAATGTTAATCCAAAACAGAGTTCTCAGTTTCTCCTTCTCCAAACCTATTCCCATTCCAGTCTTACTCATTCCAGTAAGTGGTCCGCTGTCTAATTCAGCTGCTGAAACCACAAACCAGGAAGCTGTCCCTAACTCCTCTGCTACTCCTGTATCCACTGTTAGCAGGTCACTGATTTTATTTCCAAACTATATCTTAAATACATTTTTTCTCCATCTCTATTACCACCACCCACTCCAAGTCATTACCATCTCCAACCTGGATTGTTAGCAAACTCCAACATGATCTCTTCTTTCACTTTCCTCCCTCTACAAACAATTGTCTACTTAGCAGGCAGCGATCATCCTAAAATGTGAATCAAACATGTCATTCCTCCACTGAATACCCTTTAATGGCTTTTTTTTTTAAGATTTATTTATTTATTTATTTATTTGAGAGAGAGAGCGCATGAGAGGGGGAGGGTCAGAGGGAGAAGCAGACTCCCTGCTGAGCAGGGAGACCCATGCGGGACTCGATCCTGGGATTCCAGGATCATGACCTGAGCCTAAGGCAGTCACTTAACCAACTGAGCCACCTAGGCGCCCCTGGCTTTTCACTTAGGTTGGAATTGAATGATCTGGTCCACCTGTGTCTACAAACCTAACTTGTGCCTCTCATACCCTTGATAATTATGTTACACTCCAAACCTTTTGGTTTCTTGAACATGCCAAACCCTTCACACATCAAGAGTCTGCAGAGCTGTTCCCTCTGCCTGCTGTTCTTCCCATTCTTGATACATGCGCCTTCTTCTCATTCTGAGATTTAACTTTAATGTTACCTCCTAGGATAGGCCTTCCCTGACCATTTATATAAAGAGGTTCCCTCTCCATCATTCCCTCTCTGTAGCATTCATTTCCTTCATAACGCTTAGCAATTTTTAATCAATTACTTGATTTTTTTGTTTGTTTGGTCTCTCTCACTAGATGAATGTTCCAGAAAGGCAGGAAGTAGGTCTGACTTACCATTGTTTAGCAGCACCTAGCATAGTGCTTTGCATACAAGCAGGTACTCAGTGATATTTGCTTAATAAACTTCCCCCAAATGCCTGTTCACATCACTCATTTCCATTTCTTGGGTCTGTTTAGTACAAAAGTTTCAATGCTTATTAGAGGTTACCCTAACTGGACTATGCTAAGCCAAGTGGCTTTAGGCTTCAGCAATCAGATAGTATGTTTGTAACTTTCAGGAAGCAGTTTAGTCCAAGCCAGTCTCTGGCTTCTCTTCCTTGCTCCTTAGTCAACAATTACATTACCTGGCTGGGAGCTTCTAAAGTGGAATGCCTAATTAGCAGAGAGGCAAACTGCTGAAAAATGCCTCTAAAGGTGAAGTCTGGAATGTGTTTCATCTGTTTTGGCCAGCACTCTTCCCTGAACAGAGCCTTTGTTTCTCTAACCCTTGAAGATGGTCAGTACCATTCTCTAATAGTACAGCTTACTCTGGAATGTGGGCTATCATGATGATGAGAAGGGAAAGACTGGAAGGGGATCTGGGATAGTGGAACAATGAGAGGGGTTGTAGCTATACAAATTTTTATGAAAACAAAACAAAACAAAGCCTCCCACTTGCTTTACATTTTCCCAGTCCCAGAGTGCTATCTTCTAACACAAAAGGAATCAGGTCTCCCAAGACTGCACAATTCTGACTACCCTCCACTACTTTCCTTAAGTTACCTTGGTGACCTCAGGGTGGACACAACTTCAGAGGAAGAGAAAGTTCTGGAGTTGGCAATGTAACTGCATTGTCATCTACAGCAAATATGGTTTTCAGTGAGGTAGATTTATGAAAGCTGAGTACTTGTATATAGAAAGAATATATCCAGGAAGACACACAACCAGTAACAGTGGCTGTCTCTGAGAAGGTAGACTGGGAGATAGGAGTGACAAGGAGAATTTACTTTTCACTGAACACCTTTTTGAACTATTTCAACTTTTTTTTATCATGAGCATGTTACAACTAGTCAAAAATAAATAAGTGTCAAAATTTGAAAAACATAGAAGAAATACAGTGTTGGTCCTCAAAGAGACATTTAGCTGGACTAACACAATAAGACATCAGAAAAATATAAGACAGCACATAGTTAAATAACAATTTGGATAGTACTGATTACAAGTAGAAGAGGAAGAGAGGTCTGTTTGGCTGAAGGAGCTGGGTATTAGACGAGAAAAGGAAATTTTTAGCCTAGGGAAACTTGAGCAAATAGAAATGAGCAGAAGCAGAAATGTGCACAAATAAAGAACAGTAGACTCTGGGGTCAGATAGACCTGCTTCCAATCTCAATTCTGTAACATATTAGCTAAGTGACCTTGAATGAGTTTTATAACTTCTTTCAACCTCAGATTTCTCATTTGTAAAATGAAGATGAGTACCTACCTCAATAGGATTAAAGTGATTAGCATAGTACTCAACAGATTAAAGTGATTATGTAAAGTGATTAGCATAGTACCCAACAGAGTAGACGCTCAACTAAAAGTTGCCTAGCATGAACATGGTCGAACAGGAGGACCACTCTTTCTAGAGCACAGGGTATCTGTTCAGAAGGGGTAAGATAATACTGGCTATTAGAGTTATAACAAACTGTGGACAATCACCTTGTTTTGTCTCTGGGGTTCCTGTTGCATAAGAATTATAAGCAAGTACCACCATTGTGCATTCTCTAATGTTCAATGTGAGAGGTCTGACAATTACAGGGTTTCTCTCTGGCATGGCGCCTCTGGTGCTTAATCAGAACAGAATTCTGACTGAAGGCCTTCCCGCAGTCATTACACTGATAGGGTCTTTCCCCAGTATGGATTCTCTGATGTCGAATAAGGTGTGCCTTGCAGATGAAGCTTTTCCCACAGTCAGTACATTCATGGGGCTTCTCCCCCGTGTGGACTCTCTGGTGCTGAGCAAGATCGGAGTTCCACATAAAGCCTTTCCCACAGTCCTTGCATTCATAAGGCTTCTCCCCAGTGTGGATTCTCTGATGTCGAAGTAGGGCTGGGTTCCGAGTAAAGCTTTTCCCACATTCCTTACATGTATATGGTTTTTCCCCAGTGTGGATTCGCTGATGTTGTGTAAGGCTTGTGTTCTGACTAAAGCCCTTCCCACATTCCTTACATTCAAAGGGTTTCTCTCCAGTATGTATTCTCTGGTGTCGAATCAGGTTTGACTTCCAAACGAAGGCTTTAGCACATTCTTGACACACGTAGGGTTTCACCCCCGTGTGAATTCTCTGATGTGCAATGCAATGTGATCTAAAACTGAAAGTCTTTCCACATTCCTTACATCCATAGACCTTCTCTCCATTATGAAGTCTCTGATGTTGGTCAAAGTCTTCATTTTGATCAAAACACTTGCCACATTCTTCACATATATAGAACACCTGCTCACTGAGAATTTTCTGATGTATAGCAAGGTGGGTATTCACATCAGCATTCTCTGAACTATCTTCTCCTGAGACCATCTCATCTTTGACAATCACTTCTATAATATCATTTGCAGTGTTCTCCATACTTCTCCCATTGGAATAGTCAGACCACCTCCCTAACCTGCTTTTTTCCTCCTCACAGGTTTTTCCAAACCAGAATTCCTGGGAGCCACACCACCGGGGTCTGCTTGATAACACCATGTGGTCCTTTGCCTCCTCAAAACGTTCTTCCTTCAGAATAAAATCTTTCTGACTCTTCAACACACCCTCTGAAAGAAGAAATCAAAGCTGCAAATGTCATCATTACCCATGACAGAGCAAGTAAGGTCACCAAGTGGTACTAATGTGTCCATTTCACTCCAAGTGTCACCCCGTGTCTCAGTGGCCCTGTTCTAGCTGAAAATGGCACAACAGGGCTTATCACACAAAAAGCAACCAAAGTGTATGCCACAGAAAGGCAGAAACTACACAGAGTCTAGAGGGGAGCTCTCCAGAAATAGTTGAATTGAATCTAAGGGAGACAAGTCAGAATTTCTTCTACGTAGTCCGGTTTATAACATGAGAAGAAGAGGCCAGGGTTCAGGGCAGAGGACCTGTTCAGAAATAACGAATCCTTTGGGGTATACCTGGGGAACCTGAACTTGTCATACGCAGCGGGAAGCAACAAGGAGAATCTTCCTCATACCTGTCAACATTAAAAGGAAATGTGGTCTTCCCATTCAATCCAGTTACCAGGCCCACTATGAAAAGTGCTTCCCCTATTTCAGGCAAAGACTGCCTCCTCTTTGTGTCCACAGTGCTCTATTCACACCTCTGTTACAGCATTGCACTTTGCTGTAATTATATATTTATGTTGAATGTACCGTTAGACTATGAGCTCTTGCAGGAGAAGGGCCATATATTACTTGCTTTCTGATCCCTAAAAACTAACAGAATGAATAAAATACAGCATTTCCTTTTAAAATTTTGGTTGACTGTAGCAGCCAGCAGGCCATCTGTTCGGTTAAAGCCTAAGACCCAAGACCCACCCGAATTAATCGATCATGTCCAAATGAAAGCTGAAGTTTAGAATTTAACTTTGCTCTTCATCAAATGGTTGACTTGGGGATTTTTAGAGGGATTTTTACTTAGAACATAAATGGTAAAATGGAATTTTAACAGTTTACAAAAGAAAGACAGCAGAAAATATGTGCCTGGGAGGAAAGTGCTCATTTCCCTCACTTACCAGTACAGCTTAGGCTTGGACCCTCTCCTCGAAGTTTCAGGTTCAATGGCTCTTCCACCTGCTCAAGATGGGAGATCCCAGCAGGCTTTAGAAATGGACATCCTGCCAGGGTCAAGATATAAATAAGGCTGGCTCAGTCGGAGTGGGACCCATTAGGAAAGGTGCAGAGATGAAAGTGGTAAGGGAGAATGAAGGTGGGTGGAAAGACTGGTACACAGGAGACCTGAAACTTGAGGAGGAGAACAATATAAAGGACAGAAGACAGATGCAGGGAAGTTGAAATTCCATCAGTTCCCCAAAACATGAGAATGTATCTCTCATTTTTAAATGTCAAGGGGAAACAGGAAAGACTAAGTTCTCTTCTTCACCTCCCCTAGAAGGCAAAAGCCAGTTCACATAGAAAAGAATCAGGATGGGATGGAACTGCAAAGAGCTGTTCCTGAGGCTATGCTGGGAACCCACAGTCCTTTAGCTTCCTTCCTGTCTATCCACCTATATATTGCCTTCTCTTTCTACAAAGGATCAACGATGGGTCTCTCTAAGGCATCCATTAGACATGGACGCACAGCTTCACTCAGCCATTTCCAGAAGTCACTTCTTATTCTAATGACAGACACCTCTAATTGCAAAGGTCCACTCTAATAAACTCTTCTTCAGGCTTAGCTAAGATCTGTCTCTTTGTAACTCCCATCCAAAGCCTCCCAAGAAACAGAGCAATTCCTCACCCTCCAAATGACCACCTTTTATCTTGCTGAAGCCAAGGACTGTGTGTCTCCTGATATTCTCTTAAGACAAAAATGGACTTTGAATAGGGGCATGTACTCAAAGGAAGTTTGCTTCAGGCCAGGGAGCTAGGGTTTTACTCAAGAAATAACTTAGCTGTTGGCTTTCTGCCTAGAGCCAAATGGGAAATACCCTTGGGTGGTGGGAGTTTAAGCACTGAGATCCTGAGAGAAGGCAGAGGACACTGCAGTTGTCTCTCTACATCCAATCTACCACCACCACCAACCCCCACCCTCCTCTGCCGCCCCCACCATTATGGAGTAGCCATGCCCTTTGGAAAGGAGGGATCCCAACTCCAGTTCCTAGTGTAGCCCTCACTGGTCTAAGCCAAGCAGGTTAACCTATCCCACTCACTACATGAGAGTTAGTGTCAGAAATCGGCAGTCCAGGCCAAGACAATCAGTGCATACTATTTCCCTGGCCACAGTGACTGGTTTAGAGTTGGCGTAAGACTTAAGATGGTACATGGCAAAGGCCTGAGGAAGGCCTGCCCTATTTCTCTCCCTAGGTATGAAGAAGCAGAGCCTTGGTTACAACTACCAATCATCTTACAACCACAAGAGGAGCCAGACTGTAGACAAAGCCAGCATACAAGGAGATAGAAAAGAGCAGAGACTGAAGCTCTGATCAAGCTGTACCTGCACCCTCCCTATGAACTTCCTACTTACACGAAACAGTAAATTCCTCTTTTTTGTTTAAGCTGGTTTGCACTGGGTTGTTAATTGTAACCATGATCATCCTAACATGGAAACACTGCCAGACACAGCAAGGAACTGTGAGAATGGGGACACTGAGGACAAAGCTCAAGTTCCACTGTGCCCACAGAAGAACTCCTGTGGGAAGAAGATGGAATGGGGCCAGGGAGGCAAAAAGGGGACACAGTTGTCACTAGGAAATTAGGAACAGGAAAGCCCTGTGTTGGGCCTAAAGGAATGCCAGGGCTTTGCCCACCAGAAACCCCTGAATTGGAACTATATGGCTCAAGGTTATTGAGACTTCTTGATTTCTAATGATAAAGATGGCCATGATACCCCAAAGGGCAGTCAGAATCTTCTGCTGGAAGACTATAAGGAGGCGGGGAATGTAGAAAGGCCACCCCAGTGCGTCAACAGAAAAGTCAGGGAGTACAGATGAATGGTGGCCACGATAAGAACAGCGGAAATGGGTTAGAGGCAAAACCCGTGAATGAAGAGGAGCCAGGGTGAATAGTAAACAGACTCAAGAAGATGGAAAATCATGGGAGCACAGAAAAAGAAAAAGGAATCCCACTAGTGTCTATAGTACTAAGTTAAGAGAACACATACCTATTACATTTTAAAGATCAAGACAAGGGAACTGGTCAGATGACTGGCACCTGTCCTCACTCACCTGAGGAGATGCCCCTCGGGCCCCCTCCATCCAGAGCTCCCTGAGGAGCTTTGCACCAGGGTGCTTCCCCTCGCTCCAGCTGGGAAATCAGAGCCGGTTTGGGAAATGGAAATGCTGTTTAAGGGGAAGGAAATGGGACAGGCAGGTGAGTGGGGTGACAGAGAGCAATCCCAGGGTTCCTCCCAGGCTTTGTCTTTAGGGGCGGAGGGGAAAGAAGAGACTTAACTAGGGAGAGCAAGAAAAGGAAGTCCAGGGGAAGGGACAGGAGACACAGGGGAGCGGGGCCACGAGGTCAGGAATTAGAGTAAGAGGTGCTCAATAACAGTCTGAGTGAGCAAATGGATGATTCCACTCATTGAGAGATTAGGCTTTCTTGTTCTCTCCCTCTCTTAGAACTCTCAAGTTCAGACATCTGCATGAGGACGCTTGGTATTGGGTTCAATCTCCCAAACTGAGTGGGTGGGAAACTGAGGGCTTGGTGGGGCACCAGGAATCTGCTCTTTTCCTACTCTACCCATAGCATAGGGGTTGGGAGTTAGGCAGCTCTCACCCTGGGGCAAGAAAGTCTGATGTGAGGACCAAATTCCCACTTCCCAGCAACCACTGAGGCTGGGTCCTTATTAAGAATCCAAGGGCCTGAGGTTGCCACTCAGGTGGGGGTTATCAAAGATTCCTGAGCTTCTGAGGTAGAAGGAGTCAGGAAACTCTGAAGGGCAGAAGCAGAGTCCAAAAAGAAAGACCCTTACCCAGGGAAGCCACAGCCCCATAATTCTCCAGCATCACATCCCTGTACAGCACCCTCTGAGCAGGGGCCAGGCCGGTCCATTCGTTCTCAGAGAAGTAGACGGCCACATCCTCGAAGGTCACTGACTCCTGAAACAACATGTGTTTAAATGCCCCAGGACAATCTCAGACCCAGGCCTGGAGTATGGGGTAGAGCAGGCACTAAGAGGTACTGGAGGGGATGCAAGTTGAGTTTCTGGATTCTGGAACTCTCTGCGGATTTGCACCCCCTACTTACAAAGATATAAGGGATCAGCCATCAATTTCTCACGTCTCTTCATCCCCTCATCTTTTTCATGAGTCTCTACAAGTTTTCCCTTTTTCATCCTTATACCCAAAACCACTATCTGCGCTCTAGGTGCCCTCATTTCCCAACAGCGGGTGCTCCAGGCAGAGGTCACCAACCCTTGATAACAAGTGCAACTACCATCTGTTGAGCCTGTGCCAGGCACTTTACCTATATTACTTTGTGTATGCCTCACAGCCTCTGAGGAGGCGATTCGATTCATTTTATGGAAGAGAGTGAGGCTCAGAGATTCACTGCCCCCAAAGGTACAGAACGGAGACAGAATTCAGGGCAGTCGGCCTCTCCGGCTCTTCTTTACTGTGCCACACCACCTTCTATCCTCACTCAGCAACCCCTGCTGCCCCGGGGTGAGGCTCTTTCTCTTCTCTCCCTCCGCCCTCACTGTCATCAGCCACAGAGGCAGCTAAGGGCACCCCAGCACACCCGGGCTGCTCTGGACGCTGTCCTCCAAAGGGCAGGTCCGAACTCTGACTTGACTCCCTGCACTCCGCCACTCCAGCACCCTCTCTCAAATGGCCCGCCCTACTCTTCTTCCCCACTTGCCAGTTTTAATGTCCCCCTTTCCTGTATCTCTGGGAGCCCAAGCTTCTGCACCTTCTCTTACCTTCTTCCTTAAGAAACACCAACAGTGCTTCCGCAGAGCAATCAAGGCTTATCATCCCAGCTACTGTCTCATTCAGCTCTCAATCTCCATACTACGGAGAGGCTGATTCTGCTGCATTGCACATCGGTCCTTGCTTAGAAAATCCCCACAGCGACTTACGCAGCACCCTAGGGCTCAAAGACTTCGGCTGGCTCACCCTTGCCTGCCTCAAAACGTCCAAATCCTCTGCACCGGGGACAATTCCATTGACTATTCAGAGACCCAGCTTACCGGCCAAGGATCATCTCCTGCACCACCACCCTCATCCCCTATCCTGTCACCATCCTGTTAGGAACCCAAATCCTTTCCTTGCCCAAATCTGTGTCCTTGCACCTGCAGCTCCCCCTGCCTGGAGATGCAGTTCCTCCCTCCTGCGCCGGCAAACTCAGATTCATCTCAAGACCCACCTCAAACATAACCAGCACTGTAAAAACCAGTGACACGGAAATGCTGGACATTCGTCGCGGCGCACAGCGCTCCGTGAACACCTCCGCCCCAGAGCTCGGCTCAAGCCTGTGCAGCTGCGCGTGCGTTTCCCCTGCCGGCGCAAGTCTGGGGGGATGTCGAATCCATTCCGCTCCCTGCCTCTTCCTCCGGCCCCTCCACTCTGGGCTGCACCCCGATTTCCCGGTCGCCGCACTGCCCCCTCCGCCCCTCCTGTGGGCCTAGAGCCCGGGGCAGAGCCGAGCCAGCTCCGTGGCGCCGGCCCCGCACTCACCGGGCGCGCCCGGGCCGGCGCGGGCTGTCCCGGTAGCAGCTCGAGTGCAGG